ACACTCAAGGTAGAGTGTGAAATTTGTTATAAAAAAAAAAAAAAAAAAAAAAAAAAAAAAAAATAGGTGCATAAAAATGGATAATTCATTAATCTTATAAATACATTCCCAACGGATTTTAATAATACCATGCTTGTTTCTTCATCTTTTGTGATCACCCTAAAAATTTGTACCTTCCAAGGACTCGATATCATAAATTGGAACACAAATTTCATTTCTAGACTATGTCTTCTTTAACATTTTTTCACCATCATCATAATCCAAATATATACTACCCCGTCTTTTTCTCGTCAAAATTTCTGGTAAGTTTGATTGTTTGGATTTTGTGGTCGTTGGCAGGACCAGATGATTTACACGCTGGCTCGTGATGTCATCTAGATTAATATGCACTTTGACCACATCTACTGCTTTATTCACGTCAGAAACTGTGGCAGCATGATCCCATAGTTCACGTGTTTCTGCAGCATCGAACTTTAATTAAACAACAAAAGTGCAATTACGTACTTAATAGAGTATAATTCAATATCACTGATCATCAAAGATCGACTTACCTTCTTATTTCTTAAAAGCTTTTGTACAAAGTTATGAAGTACCGGAGAAGCTTCTTGATCCTCACTTATTTTTTTCAAGGCCTTGTAAAATGTGCGGTACGATATCTCTTTGTCCAAGTTATTTTCGATTGCCCAATGAACAAAATGCCTTAATGACCAGATCTCATAAGGAAAAGTTTCGAAATATTCAATTCCAGGATGATCCCAAGTCTTGATTTCTTTAATTGAAGGAATGTCATCCGGCATATCTGCAAGAGAAAGAATTAAACATAACATTTTAGTGTAGATACGGAATTGTCCTGGGTTTTATGCTATACCTGGTATTGTAAAATTATTTGTTTTGATGTCTTCAATTAAGCTTAATATTGATAAAATTGGTCCCATCTTTATATCGCAATGATTAAGTTCTTTGTTTGTTAGAAGAAGAAAGGTGCGCCCCGTAATCTTTGCCTCACAAATAACTTTCAGCTCTTCAAAGCCAAGCCCCAGGTCCTTTTGTTCTCG